GGGGGGGGGGGGGGGGGGGGGAGGGCATGTACAAATGTTGCTCGATGTTTTTTCGATCTTTTATAGATCGAATTGCATTTTGATCTTTTATAGATCTCTAAAGTGAGATTTTTTCAGCGTACGGTCTTTCGTTGTGAAATATTCTCTTCAGTTACTTGTAACATTAACCCTATAACACCACGCTTAGGTGTACCACACTCGTGTTATTGTTGAAACGCACACTGTTTCTATATAATAAAAGATGATAGGATTAGAAAGGGAAAAACTTTTGTCTCCTCTCTACAACTGTACATGTTGTACAATTCTGATGTTTAGCAGATGTAAAAGAGACATCGCTGAAATCAGCCTTGACGTTAAGAAATTCTTCATATTCAAGCAATATATATATATATATTTTTTTTTAAATCATTGTTTCACATTCTTCCTGAAAAGTTACGTTTTTTCCCTTTGACAAATAACAATTTGTTTTATACATTACGGCTTTACAAAATAGAATTCTAATTTTTTTCATTACATAGCCTTTTTTTAAGATTTTTGATTAAGAACGTTTTTACTCGGCCTTCTCTTAAAATTAACTTATTTTGTATAAGACTTTAATGGTAATTAATGATACCGACGTCTTCCTGATATCTTGATTTTCAAATAAAAAAAGAAATAATTAAAGAATATCCGCTTTTTGAGGAAATATCGATAGTTGAATGCATTATATTCAGTGTGGTGAAACCGCGACTTGCAAGAAGTGTATGGTGTTCTAGAGTTAAAATCGATCAATGTTGCTCTGTTTTATTTTTCCAATTCTTCGGCGTTTGAAACTATTCAAATAGAATCGCACCATGTAGTGCGGCTGCGGCTAATTATCATAATTATTCTGTCGTTAATAACGTGAAGTAAGTCGAGTTCGAATTGTGGAAATTACTTTATTTCGTGTATTTGCGTCTAGTGTCGATTAGATATCGAGTTTGAGGGAAGTGTTTCAGATGAAACTGTTTTTCCCAACTTCCTTTGTTCTCCACTCCAAGTTTCTGCCGTTTTTTCGGCCAATCCTATCAGTCTTAACTCTTTGCGGTCTTGTTTCACGTATACAAGCAATTCCGAAAATCAAAAAAATATATTTAATCACTTGAAGTGATTATCATTAAAAAATTTCCATTCTAACACATCACGTGTAATAAATTGCAATGCTTAATTTACCCTGTTTGCAAAAGGTCCGAATGTACAACGGCGGAAATGATTTCTTTTTTTTTTCTATAATTATTCGTAGACCAGTTCGGATTGCAAAGAGTGAAGCTTCTTTCGCTGTTTTTCACACTCAATGTCACGTTTCCTATCGAAAATCAGTCTCTTGAGTTAATGTAAAGTAACACGACCATTGCTCTGTACCACCCTCTCCGATTACGTCCTCGCCACGTCCTGGCACGCAGTACTACGTTCTTTTGTGCGATTCTAACAGGCGCCGGATATGGAGCTTCAAGCGTTCCTGCTGCACCAGGAACCAACGACAACTATGGCGGTGGGCCCCAAAGGGGTTACGCGGGATCTGCTACCAACTCCAATTACCATCCTTATCGTCGCTAAAAGGATAAAACGAAGTCGTTCTTCGGCTATACGTCCGGGGTTACCCTTCGTTTCTTTGTTGCTAACGATGCAAACGTGTGTGTATATATATATGTATATATACACATATACACACATACTTACATAGCTACAAACATATAGTTTATACGGTGATAGGGTATGTTCAGTTTACGTACTTTAAATCTGCGTGGGGATGATTTGCGGAAGATCGGCAGATCCAAGACTTCTTGCGTGGGATGAATGAGACGCACGACCGGTCAAAACAATGCATGCAGTGGACTGTTGGAGCGTGCCATTTCCTCGACGTCATTTGCGACAAGTTTCGTGGAGTACTACGTTCGTTGAGAAAGGAAGAGAAGAATTGTGGATCAATGCGACTGCGATGCATCGACTTTTTTCCGAAAGGCATTTGGAGCGTTTGACTTGGTCGAGCAACGAGTCCGGTAACGGTTACAGGTGGAGCGAGTTACAAGTTACAAGTAAATTTCAGCTTTATGTACGACACTTCATTGATTGGTGCCACTTGTGAAGTTGCGCGCGTGTCGCGCCACTTTACAGCAAAGTCAATTGTAGTTGAAATTATTTTTATAGCATTTGACTTTTCATGAAAAAAATTTTGAAACACGATTACGGATAATGCATGTCAAATTTGCATTTATAACAGAAGTTATCTAAAATAATAATATTATCTTATAATATTACAAATAATAATATCAATACACCTCTCTTATGCGCTAATACGATAATACTTTAAGATATTTTTAATACAAATTCGATACTGGGATATTTAAAACGAGGCTCTCATTTCTCTCATTGTAGACACATTAAATTGAAAGCAAAAGCGAGAAGTACGTTTTCTCTGGTGCAATATAGTCGACATAAATCGATTTCTTCACATATCAAGAAATTATGCCATCGCGTTCTATCTCGATCAGCTGTCACCAATCGGATTCGTTTTCGTTCGAAAATGTGAAACCATTTGTATGTCGGTTCATCGATGCGAAGTAATTAAGCGCGATAAGCTCTTTCGATATATTCCAACAGTCTATCAAACACACACACACACACACACACACACACATGTACGTACTGTTGCATATATTGAATGCAAATGACAAATTATATAAACAAGACTTTTTGCTATATAATCGATTGAAAAAGACCAAAGAGAGCGGGTCACGGTTGTTGATGCGAATATGCAAACTGTGAGAGGATAATATCACTGGAAAGTGAGAAAATTTATACTGTCATGCTGTAATTATTATCCTTCCATAGTTTGGATATTCACACCAACAATCGTGACTGACTCTCTGGCTGTCTTTCTGTTTCAAATTGAATGCGAATAAGTAGGAATAGCCCGCATGAAAAATTATTTCAACGTACATTGCAAAAAAGAACATCCACACGGTTTTGGCTTCTGACGTTGTCATTTGTACGGCTAGAGAGCATCCAAATATCTGAAATTGTATTATCTATACGAAATGCGTCTGTATTGACAAACAAGTTGTGAGAACTTATCAATGATGTGTCATCAGTGATTTCTGAAAGATTAAAACATATACGGGATTACGTTGCGCAGCAATATTTGTACAAAAATATTCAGACAGATAATATAACACGGTTATCTTTATCGATCACTTGTTCTTCATGATTTCGAAGTGCGCATGTTTGTATGGTACGCGTGCCTGGATTAACAACCGACGCGATTTTAGGTTGCCTAGTTTCAAGCGGCTGTAAATTAAGCGAACTGAACGACGAATGCACGTTCATCCGTTGACGGTAATGGAGTGTATGACCGAGCGTACACGGATTAACGTTAGGCCGCGACAAAAAGTGGCGATTATAGTGTAAGTTAATTGTAGTTGTAATTTTAATTGATAAGTATCATAGATCAATAAGGTATCATCAACTGATCAAACACTGCGTTATGTTAGCATAGACACAGCAAAGGAAATACTTTTTATTTACATGTCGTATATTTCCAGAAATCCCTGAAAGGCAACGAGATTTATTCTCAGTGTTGATTCTCGCGAAAGCGTGCAAACCGCATCTTCTTTTGAGTTCTCTTGTTTTCGTTTGATTTAAGGACGACTCAATTGTTGTTTTTTTCCTCGTTTTTCTTCGTTTTTTTTCAAAAGTAATTGTTAGAGAGAGAGAGAGAGAGAGAGAGAGAGAGAGAGAGAGAGAGAGAGAGAGAGGGAGAGGGAGATAGAGTGAGTGAATGAGTGAGAGAGGGGGGAGAGAGATAAAAAGAGTGAGGACGAACCTAATACTATCTTTTTTTTCGATTTCTGCCGTAGGAAGTTTATTTGCTAGACGTCCTGTTCATTTTGACTGGATGACGCGAGGCATATGGAGTTGAGGTAAAAGAAATTAAGGACGCGATTTTAATTGCACGCGCCGCTTAATAAACGGGTTAAGGACATACAATTTTGACCATTCGATACTCCATCTCGACATTTTTTCCTTTTCTCTTTTTTAAGGATTTCTTTCATATTATATTAAATTAAATGATTGTACGGCAGTCGAAGGAACGAAGAAATTCGGTTCGGTTTCGAAATTATTGAATTTTTTTATAAATCTACCTATATATACGAAAAAATTGACATTGTCGTTTGCGACTTTTTTTAACGAGAATGTGGTGATACGTTTGCAAAAAAAGCTACAACGAGATTTCGATTTTTCTATTTATTTGTGATTGAAAATATTTAAGATATTGAAAGTCGTATAGGTAAAAAAATCTCCAAAAAAAGGAGAAGAATAAATATCTATATGTACTTCAATTTGAAATTTTATTGTTTTTCGACAAGCTTTCTCTTTGTCGAGTTGACGTGTGTTTTCATAAATGTCTTTTTGACACGAGATATTCTCTAATGATTTTATCATCAGTTCGAGAGTGCAAAAAAATTACGACAGCAGGCGATGAGAGTGAATTTTGAAATAATGTAAAAGTGTAAACATTTAAACTCCAAACATATTTAATGGAACCACTACAGTGATTTGAGAAACAAGTTTAGTGCTTTAGACATGCGGAGACGTATGTACGATTGTAAAATGTATGACATTGGTTGACTATACAGGGTATTTGACAATTTATGACACATCCGTTGTGTGCAGGTAGAACTTATCAAACTGAATGTAAAATTTCTCTACCATATCGCAAAAAAACACGTAAAATTGAGTTATCAATTAAATAAGATTGGTGGATGATTACGCTGTGATACAGCTGTGACGGCGATATTTGCTTGTATATTAGGTCAAATCGAATAAGAGAGTTTTCTATCATTTTGTAAATAATCATGCAGATTTGGATTTATTAATTAAAGGAGATTGGTGCATAATTATCCGCGATAATGCACCAATCTTTTTTAATTAATAACTCAAAATTTAACATGGTAGCTTGCGAAATGGTAGAGGAATTTTGTGTTTAGTTTGATATATTTTACCTACGCACAATGAGCGTGTCAATAATTATCAAACACTCTGTATACGTGGAAGTCACGCACATCATTTCAACTTCAAGATGCACCTGCGTCTTGGCACACGTACTTTCACGATAGAATATGGCTAAAATAAAATACGATAAGTAGATTAAAGCGACAACGAAGAAAATGCGCATTCACGCGTGTTAAAGGACGTCGTATATTAGTAATAGTAGCACTAATACTAATGATTAAGGAATATATTTAAGGAATTTTAGAAAAAGGAAAAGAAAGAGAGAGAGAGAGAGAGAGAGAGAGAGAGAGAGAGAGAGAGAG